GGAAAGAGAAGAGCGAGGCCCTGAGAGGTGGGAGATGCAGTGAGGAAGTGGCAGTGTTTATTAGTGGCTTTGAGGTTGGTTCCACAAGCAGTGGCTTCAGGGCAAACTTGTTCTTCCACAGTCTGGCTTCTACCAGGATGTTAAAGTAAAGGGAGTGGGAAAGAAAGAAGGTGGCCATCAGAGAGGGGTGCCTGCCTTAGAGTCATAGGAGGGTATATAGTTGACTGTCCCTCTATGAGCTGCAGTTTGCACGGAGAAGAGCAACGAGGTGATCCTGGAAGCAGTGGTAAGGAAGGGAGATGACACATACCCCACCTCCCAGATCAGCAGTTGTGAAGAATGATAGAGAAGACAGCCACCACCGGAGAAAGTCTGGAAGGAAGCAGTGTCTTCCAGGAATACTCAAAAAAAAAAAAAAAAAAAAAATTCTGATAATCTAAAACCCTAGGCCACTCATCATAAGAACAGTCAAAATCCATTTGTGGGCTCCCCTGGTGGCGCAGTTGTTGAGAGTCCGCCTGCTGATGCAGGGGACACGGGTTCGTGCCCCGGTCTGGGATGATTCCGCATGCCGCGGAGCGGCTGGGCCCGTGAGCCGTGGCCGCTGAGCCTGCGCGTCCGGACTCTGTGTTCTGCAGCAGGAGGGGCCACAACAGTGAGGGGCCCGCATACCGCAAAAAAAACAAAAAAAAATCCATTTGTAAGAAATTACTTACTCAATATATGGAGCAATATCTTCTTCTGTCCACTTCTCCCTCAGAGAGAAGAGACTATTAAAACGTTCCTGATTATCCTCAGGCAAATCATCTACTTTCAGCAAAAATATGATCTCTGGTCTTGAGTGTCTATCCACCAAGGCTAAACCCTATAAGAAATGAGGAAAAGGACAGTTCAAGTAATAGTCTGATGTTTAAAAATGACTCATTTACCTTACGTTTAGCTTAGCCCAAGGTATTTAAAACATCATCCACAGGAAACTTACACAAACTACCCAGAAACTTACAATAGCCTTTTTCATAAAAGAGCTCCTCTAAGCAGTGACTTACTTTCCCTTCTGTAATCTGGCTTTTACTACCACCAATTTCTTGAGATGGCTCTAGTTCTAAAGGTCACTGATGACCTGTCGTTGCCAAATCCAGTGGGCCCTTTTCTTGGATTCATCTCGCTAGACCTGTTTATTTTGTTAGTGTTGATCACTCCTTCCTCTAAGCCTTTAAGCCTGCATCACGATCTCATTATTTTTCTCCTAACTTGATGTTGTAGTTCCCTGGCCCCCTACCCCATCCCTCTACTTGTTTCACCGTCACTGTCCTAGGTAACCTCTCTAAACCCGTGACTTCAACCACCACTTACTTACACGTATTACAGTCATCAGCAAGTATCTTCAACTCAAATCCCTCTTCCAAGCACCAGACCTCTATATCCAAACCTATATATGCACTTATTGTGTTTGTCATCCAAACCTGTTCTCATCCTGCTAATCCTAGGAAACCAAGGCATCATCCTAGATTCCATTACTCAAAGCCCACATCTAAGTGGTCACTAAATCATATAGATTTTAAGGCCTTAACATTTCTCTATTCTTTCCCCATCACCTATTTCTTTGGCCAATACTCTCTTAGTTAGGAGTAAAGTGTTGGAAACCTAAATTTTTCATAATCTAGCCAACCTTCCATCAATCCATCCTCATTACTGTCATACTGTTCTTTCCAAAAGGCAAAACTCATCAGGTAGCATTTCTAACTGATGCCACTCAATGGCCCCAAAGAGCTTTCTAGATAGAGTTGAAATTCCTTAGTACAGTCCATAGTGTTCTTCACAACTCACCAGCACCCTTCTCTCCAGTCATGCATCCCTACTGTGTGTCCCAGTTTTTATCCCTCCATGCTCTCCTGGAACCTTGTCTTTCCTGAAACCTTGTCTCTGCCCTTCCATCTAGAGTAACACATGATCCTTTCATACTTGGCAGCTAAAACATTCATTCCTTCAGAAAATCATCCCTGATTGACCAGTCAGATGGATAAGCCCCTTCATTTGCTCCCATAACATCTTGTGCATGCTTTTCCCATGGCACAGATCACTCTACATTATCAGAAGAGATATATACATGTAATGTGCACCCCCATTGCCGGACCCCAGGCTGAGGACCTAGATGGTACCTTGTGTGATGTTTTCTGCTCAGCATGTAGCAAGGTATTTAGACATAAAAGGAACTCTGTAAATATTGAGCAAATACTTTCACTTATTTAATAAATTCTCATTGAGCATATACTACATGCCAGGCAGTATGCTATATATTGGCAAGCAACAGTGAAAAAAATTCTATTAAAGTGGAGAGCAGGGAACCACATAATAAAACATTTTTCTGAAGCTAAGTGAGAATACCATGAAGGAGAAATCCAGGGTGCCATGGAGAGTAAAACAGGAAGTATTTTTTTTTAGAGTAAAGGAAGGCCTCTTTGATGAAGTGACTCAAAGATGTGTAGGAGGTGGCCAGGTGAAACTGGGGAGAAGTTTATTCTAGGACAAAAAGCTTTGTGTAAAAGTCCTAAGGTAGGAAAGAGCTTGATGATCTTAAAACTCTGAAAGAAGGTTGGTATGCAGTGGACGGGAGAGAAAGTATCAAGAGATGAAGCTTACAGGGGATGGTATGAAGGGCGTTGTAGACCAAGATTTTACATATTTTATATTGTAAAATATTATTTTATATTATAATACTCTGGATTTTATATCTTAAATGCAATGGGAAATTATTAAAGTGATTTAAGCAAGAAGTTCATCTAATCTGACGGACATTTTTGAGAGATCATTTTAGTAGCACCGCAGAGAATGGATTGGAGGTGGGCAGTTAAAAGTACAGAAGGCCTGCTTAGGGATGCTATTGTGAGCCAAACATGATAGTTTCAGCTAAGACAATGCTGATGGAAATGGAGAGAAAAGGAACAAAATGAGATACACCAGGTGGGAACCAGGATTAACTGTAAATGGGCCTGAGTGATCTCACTGAGTTGACAAATGTTCTAAAACTAGCCTGTGGTAGCTGGTAACTCATTAAATTTACTACAAATCACCCTTTTCAAAAGGGTGAACTGTGATATGTAAATTACACTGCAATAAAGTGGGATTTTGGGGGGTTTTTTAAGGATTTTTGTGATGTAGAATGTACTCCTAATGGGGGGCTAGGAAAATAAACAGGCTCCAAATTCAGTTCCAGTACAGGCTTCATTTCACCTAGTAACCTGCTGAGTTATGGAGGTAATCACCTTCGCTACCTTACCTTAAGCTGATCGAGCCTAGTTATCACTCCTTCAGGAACACTCTGTTGCCACACTTCTTGAAACTCAGCGAGATTGAATTTCACTGCATTCTGAAGTAGCATTTCTGCTGTAGCTCTGCAGACTTTATCCGCACTCAATTCAAAATAAACTTCACCTAAGGAAAATGCATCAAAGAGAGTTTCATATGGTCCTCTGACAGTTAATTATACTACTCATTTTTATACACAACTCATCTCCCATCACCCTATGGAGTTCTTATTGTTAACAGGAAGACACTTGAAAAAGGCATACCAATTTTAACACATGAGAGTTGAAATACCCGTTAAAATACTTTCCCAATCTTACCTTCCTCCGTATATTTCTTTCCATAACATTCAAGACAGTGTCCAATCATTTCCCTGAAAAATTTTAAACACTTATTTGAAAAGTTTTTCACATATTTATACATTATCTTTTAAACACCATTGCTAACTAGAAACTAAGATATAAATTTGAAATAACTAAAGGATTTTGGTTGCCAAGTATAAAACTTTACATTAGAAACTAACTAAAATACACTGGACAGTTACTATATACCAGGTCCCATGCTAAATATTTTTACACAAATTATATGAGCATACCTTTATTATAAAATAGCTTAAATTATCCCTTTATATTTTTCATGGCAGAGAAAAAAAAGATACACATTTATTCACCCCAATGACCAAAATTCCCAAGTCCTTCTTGGTTGTATATTCTTTAGATTTCTATAAGATATCAAAATATAAATAGTCTAATATGCCCTGGGTTTAGTCCTACCCTGAAAATAATTTTCTTCCCCTAAGGAAATCTGGAAGGACAATGAATAACATACTTACTCTGTCTCTAATGGTCCAAGTTCCTGAAGGCATGTATTCAAGGGAACTTTACTAAAAGACCAAGATTCAGAATCCACAAGCTGAGTTATGTGATTCAGAAGTTTCATCTCATAATCAAATTCAAGAATCCTCCAATAACCTACAAATTCCAAAAGTTATATTTACCAAAGGACATTTTAAACAAATGAATTGGCTGATAGACTGATAAAGCAGCAGTAAACTCTTGCCCACTGCAAAAAAGAGACATGAAAAGTCTTAGCTTTCTTTATAAACAATGCTTCTGTTTATGCTTGTCTGCTGATCATTACAAATTGTGTCTTATGGGAGATCAGATGGTTTTTAAAGAGTACTTTTCATATGACTAACCTTTTGATTTTTTTTCAAGTGCTTTAATACTCAATTATCTCACAATAATCTTGTCGTTCTAAATGGAAATGTGGAAACCTGTAGCTGGTACAGTCATTTCATTAGAACGTCATACAAATGAGGTGAAGGTCATAGGTTGGATATCCCACACAGTGATCTCTGCTACGCGGCACTGCCATGGTTACAACCCTCATCTCAGCTATCTCGGAGAGGTGTTCTCATGCTCATAAAGAAGTCTAGCTCATTTAAGAGATAACAGACTCAGAAGTACAATGTGGACCAGTGGCAAAATAAAAGCTGAGCCTCAAGACACATTTCCCTATTCCTGTGAAAGACTATGAAATGCCATCTTATAACCAAAAGCACTACCACCACCCCTGGAGAAACAAATCACATACACACCCACCAAATCAAGTACACTCACACCAAGGGAGAATGTTCCTATTCTCACTCTGAAAACATAAAGGCAATGTTAAAAAATGGAATGTGTGATGTAAAACTGAAAAAGAAAACTAGGAAAAAATAATCTTTGCATCCCCACACACACATACCCCCCAAAATGTTATCCATTCCCATGCAATAAGTGAATAATACAGAGGGCTGCATTAAGCCCATTGGTTCTTTTTTTTTTTTTTTTAACCTTAACATTCATGGTACCCCCTATACCATAGTAATTAGCAGCAGGCATCCACAATTAGAAACTTTATGCCCGATGCTTAGGACCAAATGTGTCTCAAGGAGCCACAACAAAGAGCTAAGTGTTTCCAGTTAGTTATAAAGTCATCTGCAGCTGCTTCACTCAGCAGAATCACCACATTTGAGAGTTACAGTCTCACAAAAGCTAATCTTGCTTAGAAGATTTAGGAGTGCATCCACCAAACCATGCCAATTTCCTCCTTCCTAACACATGGGTGCAGAATTAAGCTGCTTCTCTGGGCAAGCTTAAGAGGGCTGAAAAAGGGCTTCCCTCGTGGCGCAGTGGTTGAGAGTCCACCTGCTGATGCAGGGGACACGGGTTCGTGCCCTGGTCCGGGAAGATCCCACATGCCGCGGAGCGGCTGGGCCCGTGAGCCATGGCCGCTGGGCCTGTGCATCCGGAGCCTGTGCTCCGCAACCAGAGAGGCCACAACAGTGAGAGGCCCGCGTACCACAAAAAAAAAAAAAAAAAAAAAAAAGAGGGCTGATAAATGCACACAAACATCTACTCAAGTATTACTTCAGGCCCAGATGCCAAAAAAAAAAATAGCTCCTACTCTACCACTCCAGACCAGGAGATAATCAAAATACAAGATAGTGCTGGGCTTCTCCATCAACCCGAGACCAACACATACCACTACAACTTTTATACAGGTTTCTAACATAAACTACTTAACACATTTAAAAGTATGTTGAGTTATCACAAGAAGAAACACATCTTCCAAGCAATTTGGAAATACAGTGAGTTAATTCTGAACCAGGAGTTCAAGTACCTGGGTTTTATGCCTTATCCTGTCACTAACTCAACATGGAACCCTGGACAGGTCCGTTTCCCTTCCTAGGCCTTAGTTTCCTCACCTATTGAAAACAATGAAGGGATTAGACTACCTGATATCTAAGACCTTTCCTGATCTAATATGGTTCTTCTATTACCACTCAGTCCAAAGAAAAAGGCCTGTAAGGAGTAGAAAAAGTCACTGGTCAGAGACTGTAAAGGTGATCACACATAGTCTCTACCCCACACCCCAAAATACAAATATCATCTCTGAGCCCAAAAGAAGGTTAAATAAATAGCATGGAACAGCAATAAACAGGTGAAGATGTCCAAAAATGTCTCTCATATGATGCCCAATTCCATCATTATTAATAATAGTAAGTCATGCTACCTCCAATCTCACAGGCATTTAGAACTTGTAACTGGGCCATTATTTCTTCCTCACTTGCCTGAATTTGATCAAGCAAATCTTCAGTTGTATACTGAAACAAGAAAACAGGAGAAAAAAAAAAAAGCAAGCACATTTTAAGGCCAAAGAATTTTTTTAGACTTACTGAATAAATACATAGAAGAGATTAAGGCAAGGTACCCTAGTTTAATTTCTTTTGTTAATCTGTAATGATTACTACATAAAATCAGTGGATTCTTAGAAGAAAACAGAGGATAACTCTTTGTGATGTTGGATGTGGCACTGGTTTTAGATATGATGCCAAAAACACAAGCAACAAAAGAAAAGACAGATAATGTGGACTTCATCAAAATGAAAACTTGTGAATTTCAAAACATCATCAACACAAAAGGACAAATACTGTATGACTCCACTTACATGGGAGATTTGGCATAGACAAATTCACAGAGACATAAAGTGGATAGTGGTTGCCGGAGGGTGAGAGGCAGGGAAAACTGGGGAGTTAGTGTTTAATAGGTAGAGAGTTTCAGGTTGGGAAGATGCAAATTTTCTGTAGATGGATACTGGTGATAGTTGCAGAGCAATGTGAATGTATGTAATGCCACAGAGCTGCAGTACAGGTCAAAATGGTTAAAGTGGTAAATTTTATGTTCTGTTTGTTTACCACAATTTTAAAAGATCAAGAAAAGACAACTCATAAAATAGGAGAAAATATCTGCATATCATATATCTGTCAAGGAGCTTGTATTTAATTGTATAAAGAACTCTCCTACAATTTAGTAATAAATAGATAAATAACCCAATTAAAAATTGGGCAAAGGGGTTTCTATACAGGCATTCTCCAAAGATACAGAAATAGTCAACAAGCACATGAAAACATGTTCAACATTATTAGTCATTAGGGAAATGCACATCAAAACCACAGTGATACCACTTCAAACCCATTAGGATGGATACAGAAAAGACAGATAGAAACAATTGTTGTCTAGGATGTGGAAAAACTGGAACCCTCATACAATGGAAATGTCAAATAGTGCAGCCACTTTGGAAAACAGTCTGGGAGTTCCCCAAAAGGTTATACAGAGTAAGCACAGGGCCCATCAGTTTCACTCTTAGGTATGTGTGTGTGTGTGTGTGTGTATATATATATATGTATATATATATATATATCCAAGAAAAATGAAAACATAGGTTCCCTAGAAACTTGTACATGAATATTCACAACAGTGATATCCATAATTATTAAATAACCAATAATATTCAAAAAGTAGAAACTACCCAAATGTCCATCAACTGATGAATGGATGAATAAACTATGGTATATCCATAAGATGGGGTACTATTCAGCAATAAAAAGGAATGAACTACTGATGCATGCTACAACATGAATGAACCTTGAAAACAGCATGCTAAGTCAAAGAAGCCTGTTGGAAAAGGCCACTTATTGATTCTATTCATATGAAAGGTCCAGAAGAGGCAAATCAATAGAGACAGAAAGTAGATTAGTGGCTGCCTAGGGTTGAGGTGGGAGAGAGGAGGAGGGAAAGGTAGGATTAGAAATTAACAGCTAAGGGGTACAGGGTTTCTTTTGGGGGTGGTGAAAATATTCTAAACTTCATTGTTGTGATGATTGCACAACTCTGTTAATGTACTAAAAACCGTTGAATTATATACTTTAAAATGAGTAAATTGCTTGGTATATGAATTATATCTCAATAAAGCTGTTACAAAGAAAAAAATTCAATCAATCAGTCAAACTTCTAATACAAATATGGTCTTCAGAATACCAGGAGAGTTCTATAACTTTGAACTACATTTAAAACTTAAATTTTTTTTTACCTGGTTTATAAATATTTTTCCATACTTCCAGGAATTAGTCCATTCTGACTTTCCATTTTCATAATGTCTTTTCTCAAGAGCCCCTAATTATAACTTTTAATTAAATAAATTATTTTAACCTCTAAAAAACTATTATTTCTTAGTTAGGAACATGAGAAGCTTTCAGCTACATAAATGTCACCATGATATCTAGGACTTGCTTTAAAATACTCCAGAAAAAGACAAAAAACAAAAAAGGTGGAAGGCAGCAGGCGGAAAGAATAAATGAGATTGACAAAATATTGACAGATGTTCAAGAGAGTGATGAATATATGGAGATCTTTCTGTTTTGGGGTATGTTTGAAATTTTCATAATATGAACTTTAAAAAAAAGTCAGCATTAAGTGTCTCTATAGCTCTATTTCTTAAAATCCAAATTAAAAAATGAAAATACTAGTCTTACTTTTGAGTGATTTGAATCCTTTTCTTTTTGACTGTCAGGTCCTTCATAGGTATTTTCCATCAAAAGTTTCTTTAGCTTCTTTAATTTAGGTCTACATCTTCTTACTTCCCAGTAATTATTAGAAAAACCAAAGATCTAGAAATTACAAATACATCATAATCATTTAGGGGCCATTCTCAAAGAAATCTTCATATAAAATTTCAACCAACCCATCTGCCCTCCACAAGCAGCAAGAAAAGGGAGCCAAAGTATTCTGCTTTCTGTTGAGAAGGCCCCCATCCAGCCATCTCAAGCAGATGGATGGGTATCTTCAGGTAACATCTTTTCAATCCCCAGTTAAGAAGAGACTGCCAACATAGTGAGAATGGATAATTAAGCTCCATATCTCAAGTATACGCTGGAAACTAGAGTATGCCCAGAAAAGAATGACCAGGATGGTGAGAATTCTGCAAACCAGGAAGAAACGCAAAAGCAGAATATCTTTAGGCTGACAAACAGAAAATAAAGAAAAAGCATTATCACAGTCTTCAAACAATTAATATATGATAAAGGGAAGGGGGGGAACCCTTGTTCTGTGTTGCTCATGATGTTAAGGAAGAAAGACTCCTATTCAATACAAGAACTTCCCACTAGTTAGAATTGCAACTAATTCCTTATGGACTTGTGAAACAGTGAGAGGCTTATCACTTAGAGAAATCCAGGTGACAGTGACTAAATGATGGATAAATATTTCTTATCTCTCTCTGTATCTCCAGGATTTGCCCAATGTCTAGCACTTAGTAGGTGCCCAATAACTGTTTCACATGAAAGAAGGGAAAAAGGCAGAAATGGATTGTCTCCTTCCAGCTCTAACATGGAAGGTCAGGGAATGCATCTACTCTAAAACTAGTAGAAGCCTTGATTGAAAAGACAAGGTCCAGAGCCTAATGGAGATGCTGCTGAATCTAAGAAAAGTTTAAGGACCAAAACACAAAGATTGATTTCATCCACAGTTCACAAATTGGCAGTCTGCTGGCTGTATCCAATGCACAGATGTTGGTGTGTACTTTTGTGTTGGGGAAAAAGGGAGGTTTAGTATAGAGTTTTCATTAGTTGCCAACATTGAAAAATAAGATGTTGCCCCCCCAAAATCTAAATTTTAAGCTTCACTTGGACAAAGGAAATCAGAAGATCTGGCAATGCTGGGCCTGCTTTCCCACAAGGCCAAGAAGTGCTCATCCACTTACTTGGGGCTCATGTGCTCCAATCTGCCATAGATCCCCCATTCCCTACTACTCCTGAGACTGGGTATCCACTACCATTTATCAACACCAATCTGCTTTGCTCACGTGCATTCCCTACCCAGCCTTTTTAGGCATCTAAAGCGCAACCACAGATTTAAAAACTCTGGTTAGTAGAGCTTTGTTAAGTTTTACTCAGTCTCAGAACACAGAATTCCCATAAGAGCTCAAAGATACTCACAGGTGTTGTTATACCGTCACCAAAACACCTACAAAACAGCTACATGATAAGAAAAATAACACCTTTTCCAAAAGGATGAACTGTCAATATTTCTAGTTAATTACAATGAAAGACACAACCCTATAAAAAACAAAATACAATATTTACTGGCAGCTCTTCTGTTCTAGCAACATATATGAATCACTGAAATGTCCCAGTATTTTCCCTTATTTCTATTCCAATTCTGTTTTTAGGAAGTAGCTGGCCTAAAGTTTAATAGATTTAAGGGCTGTGCTTTGATTGTATATATGTAACAATCCAGCCAGGATGGAGACTTTGGTTTGGTATCTGCCAACAGCAGTCTCCAAAATAATTAAAAATTTGTTATACATGGCTATGAATAGTAATGAACTAAACTAATTTCAAAGGTGAAAAACATACTTCCCTCAGAAACAAATTTCTCTGCCTCATCTAATGCACTAGTTATGGTTGAGGGAATCCTTTCAAAACCTATCCTTGGTAAAACTTTTTTTTTTTTTTTTTGCGGTACATGGGCCTCTCACTGTTGTGGCCTCTCCCGTTGCAGAGCACAGACTCCGGACGCGCAGGCTCAGCAGCCATGAGCCTGCGCGGCATGCGGGCCCAGCCGCTCCACGGCATGTGGGATCTTCCCAGACCGAGGCACGAACCCGTGTCCCTTGCATGGGCAGGCGGACTCTCAATCACTGCGCCACCAGGGAAGCCCCATGGTAAAACTTTTAAAATGAGTCACCTAATAGCAAATTTTCTATGTTACAGAAAATGGTCAGCTTATCTGGGACTTAAAAATCAGATTGGGATAATAAAGACAACTTTATGTGACTCCGAACAAACAAAAATAATGCTGAGAAATTTCAAATTTCATTAGAGAACTTTTCAGATTCTCTGATTGTACATTTCACACCTCAAGTTTGTTTGTTTGTTTTTTGGCCACGCTGTGCGGCATGCAGGATCTTAGTTCCCCCGACCAGGGATCCAACCCTTGCCCCCTGTATTGGGAGCACGGAATTTTAACAACTGGTCCGCCAGGGAAGTCCCACACCTCGAGTTTTTAATTAAATGCAAGATTAGCACATGTGTTGTCATTCGCACATAAATCAGGAGACAGTACCTCAGTGTGAATAATGTTACAGCGCGTCTCTTCCATCTTCATCTGGTCTGGAGTTTTACAACCAGGAATAAAAAGCAACATATTGGAAGTGTCTGCTATTTTCAAGTCATATGTTTTGTCTTTACTGCACAGAACGGCCTTCTCATCCTTATCACCACGAATCACAAGACTGCAGGAAAGTGGGAAAAGAAAATACGTGGTTTACTGAGACACCAATGGACATCTTCATTATAAAGAGTTCCAAAATCCCCTAGGCTTCCAGAATTTAAAGCTAAGTCTTAAGGCTGTGTCTGGCCCCTGCTCTCACAGCCCTCCCGTGAGCTCCACAGAGCAAGGCCTGGGCCAATTGAGACCCAGAGGGGCAGCCGGTGGCCTCACTAAGGAAAAATAATTCCACACAGACAAAAAAGATCCAAGGAGGCTAAGAGGCCAAATGTTACCACGTGGCATCTTTGTGCAAACTGCTGGGAAAAGCATCCAAAAGCTTCACTCAAGATTTCACAACTTTCTAAAATTACTGAAGCAATACTTCTCAAACTTACGCGTAGGCACATTAGGGAACCTTGTTAAAAAGCAGGTCAGGGTGCAGTATGCCTGGGATGGGACCTAGGACTCTGCATTACTAATAAGCTCCCAGATGATGACCATGCTGCTGGTCCTGGTACCCACCCAAGAGTTGTCCTTGTTTTGGCCTTAGTATCCCCTAACAATCAAAGGAGCACAACCTGGCCTAATCATCACCTATGCTGCAAAGAAATCGGGACCCTGAGAAAAGAAAGCTGCAATGTTGAATGAAAAATATGAAAATGGTATGTTTACAAACTAGACTAAATGATGTCTCTGACAAAGGGTCACAGGTGGAAAAAAGCAAGAAGGAAGAGGGGAAGGTCAAAAGTGAGGACGTGGGGCTTCCCTGGTGGCGCAGTGGTTGAGGGTCCGCCTGCAGATGCAGGGGACACGGGTTTGTGCCCCGGTCCGGGATGATCCCACATGCCGCGGAGCGGCTGGGCCCGTGAGCCATGGCCGCTGAGCCTGCGCGTCCGCAGCCTGTGCTCCGCAACGGGAGAGGCCACAGCAGTGAGAGGCCCGCGTACCGCAAAAAAAAAAAAAACAAAAAACTAATCCTTAAGTGAAAATAAAAGGTTTTTTAAAGCTTCTTGGTGCTAACAACATTTAATAGTCCCAAGTACCTACTCTTAACATTTATTTCCACATAGCACTATCCCTGCTTTCAAATATTTTGTTTAAAACAAACAAAAAAAATTAAAACAAATGCAAAAAAAAATTAAAACACACATTTTCATTCTGGTTTTTGCCAACTAGATTAACTGTAACTGGACAAAGAAGGTCCTCACACCTTAAGTCTTTTCTCAAATTCCTGCCAACTCAGCTGGGATGAAAACCCATGAGTGACGTTCTCCTTCAGTTCCCTTAAAGATACGTTATTGCTAGCATCTGAAGACTGGCCAGTTAACTGTAACACGGTTAGATGAGTAAAGTAGGCAAAGTGAAAGCCTGAAAGATTCAATTAAAAAAGCATAAAAGAGAACAAACGATACCTAATAAAATACAGGTGTGGGAGGAAAACCGGAGCAGAACAGAATTAAACCAGAACCCCTAACTCATTTCCCTCATTTTCAGGGGCTGCACAAAGTTGAGAATGGACTTCCCCTCTGTTTTTGTTTTGTTTTGTTTTGTTTTTGCGGTACGCGGGCCTCTCACTGCAGTGGCCTCCAGCGTTGCAGAGCACAGGCTCCGGACGCGCAGGCCCAGCGGCCATGGCTCACGGGCCCAGCCGCTCCGCGGCATGTGGGATCCTCCCGGACCGGGGCACGACCCCGCGTCCCCTGCATTGGCAGGCGGACTCTCAACCACTGCGCCACCAGGGAAGCCCTCCTCTGTTTTTCAACCCATGGTCTTGCAGCAATTGTGTAGCTGACCTAGAATTAGAAAACAGCTTCCGATCCCCAATGAGTAACCCCAAGCAAGTTTGTTTTTTGAGGGCCTTCCACAATTACCAAGTCTGTAAAAACAGCTTTACACTCATTCTCCCCCAGTCCTATCTACTGAGTAAAATAAAGTAGCAGGCAAGAGGAACTCCATAAATACTGGATATTACCCTTGGACTTTAAGATAGAATGGCAAAGCGTTCTGTGTAGTGCCTGGCCTCACTGTTAACATCTCCAAAACTTCCCCGAGGTTCTATTTCCGGACTTGTTTCCGCAGACAGAGGCCTCCAAGACCAGCCGGACTAGTCCAGCTAACTGGACGGATTAACTGTGGCGCGGACTCCTCGGGAAAAGGCAGCCAGCTGGGGATCAGGTCACCGGCCTGCTGCGAGGGACCTGGTCAAATCAATGCACCTCTCTGGCCCAGTTTCCCCATCCTGTGTTTCTGCGCAGGAAAAAGAAGGTGGATGGCACGAGGCTGGAGGCGGCACGTCCCGGCCCCGGCTCACCTGCGTCCTGCCTCAAGCTGCTGGCACAGCGCGGGCTCCAACTCGAGCAGGCAGAAGTCGCCGGCGGCTGCGCAGGCCCCGGGGCCGAAGCCCAGGCAGTGCACGGTGGGCAGCAGCTCGGCCGCGTTCAGCTTAGCGATCTGCAGGGTCGCGTCCACCTCGTCGCGGGTCCTCCTCATCGCTGCGCGGGGTCGGGGGGCGTCCCGCGGTGCGCGAGGGGCCGCAGGTCTAAGACAGGAGAATGAAGCTCCCCGGGCGGCCGCGACCCGGCGAAACAAAAAATAGAACAGAGCCTGTTTTAAAAGCGCGCCTAGGCGGCTGGGGGCGTGTTTCCGGGGCGGAGTCCGAAAGCTTCCCGGACTCGTGCCCCGCCGAGGACTGCCGGGTCACCCCAGGCCGAGCAGCGGCTGCTGGAAGGAAACCCGGCCTCCGCGGGGAGCTCTCGGCGGAAACTGGCGTGAGCTGAGCTGCTACCCCGCCGGGCGCCACGTGGAACCTTCCCCCACCGCTTCCGCCGCCCTCCTCCCCGCCCTGTTCCTGCCAGTACCCCCATTTCCTCGCCATCAAAATAGTCGCGTCTTCCGCCAGTGGCGGGTCTTGCAATAAGCACTTTGCATGCATAATTTCATGAACCTTCACCACAGCCCTGTGAAGTGGACCCTTTTAAATACCGTTCTGCAAATGAGGAAGCAAGCTCCTTACCCCAGGTGGCACAGCCAGGAGGTAGTAAAGTCTGATTCCAGTCTCGTCTATTACGGCTCGAAAAATACCGCACCGAGTTTGTGCAAACACCTTGGACCGGGAGTGAGGTCCTGGTAGAATTGCACAGTACATCTCACTTCTTCGGGTCTGGGGACCACTCATCATATCTGGGAATCTATGGCTCAGACTAGATCCATCCATTCGTTGAGTACCTAGTCTGGGCTGGGTGGCAGGTGAGGGGCTGAGACCCCATATCAAGAGGAAAGCACCTTCCTGAGGTAGGCAAGGCCCTGCAGTGTCCTGGGGAGACAAACTCACCACTACAGGATGTGTAAAGTGCTCCCTCGGCTTTCTCTAAGGTGTCTTCTAATACATCAAGATAAGATCTACCAAACCTAGATCTTAGGCTGTGCTGAATGTAGCATTTTCCCCCAAGCAGATCTACACAGGCTCAAATACACGGTATGCAAATTTAGATCTAATATAAATATTTGACTGCTTTTCTTTTTTTTTCTATTTATTAAACATTTTTGGTTTTGTTGCTTCTTATTTTTTCACTGTCCCTCATTAAACTGAGTTTGTTTGTTTGATTTTTTTTTCCCTCTGGCGATTTGGAAGGTCTATATCCCGCCTCATCTACTGCTGCTTCCCTCTTCCTCTTCAAGGCTTCCTCCTAACATCAGGCACACAGGCTTACAATAGATCTTTTGGTGCCTCCCACCATTTGGGCCTCTGTTTGTCTGGCATGTTCTTCTCTTGCTGAGCACGTGTCTTTTATTTTACTTTTTTGCCATGAGGCTTGTGGGATATTAATTCCCTGACCAGGGACTGAACCCGGGCCCTCACAGTGAAAGCACAGAGTCCTTGTTGAGCACTGTCTGAGATGTTGGAAATGTTTTATATCTGCACAGTCCAATTTGGTAGCTACTAACCACAGGTGGCTTTTGACTGCTTGGAATGTGGATAATGTGAGTGAGGAACTGCATTTTATTTTATTTTTAATACGTATTTATGTATTTATTTGGCTGCCCTGGGTCTTAGTTGTGACATGCAGGATCTTCGTTGCGGCATGCAGGATCTTTATTTGCGGCATGCAGGCCCTTAGTTGCAGCATGCATGTGGGATCTAGTTCCCTGACCAGGGATCGAACCCAGGTCCCCTGCATTGGGAGCTCGGAGTCTTACCCACTGGACCACCAGGGAAGTCCCTGAATTTTAAATTCTACTTAATTTAGTTAATTTAAATTTAAATAATCACAGGTGGCTAGTGGCCACTACACTGGATCATTCAACTCTGGGTCAATAGTCACTTCTCAGAAATCTTTCTCTGACCTCCCTGATCAGGTCAAGCCTATCAAATATATATCTCATGCCAAAGGTACCTCTCATGCCTAGATTTTAAGTAAGTTGTAATTTTACATTTGTGTAATTACTTAATGTGGGGTTTTTTTGTTTGGTTGGTTGGTTTTTTTTTTTCTCTAAGACTGTAAGCTATAAACTTCACTAGGATATGTTTTCAGTCATCATTAAGCAGAGTGCCCAGCACATAATGGATCTTCATATATATTTGCTGAACAGTTGAATGAGTGAATAAATGAATGAGTTGTGATAATGTTTACCTCTAAGGAGGGGAGTGCAGGGGGACATCAAAAAGGATTTCTAGTTTTTCTTTACTGTATAAATTTTAACACTGAGAGCATATACATGCATTAAACATGTGTGATAAAATATATTTTAAATATTTTTCCTCAGAATTACAAAACCTGACGTATGGAGACTTTCCTGGCAGTCCAGTGGTTAAGACTCTGCACTTCCACTGCAGGGGGCAGGGGTTCAATCCCTGGTCAGGGAACTGAGATACTGCATGCCTCATGGTGTGGCAAACAAACAAACAAAAACCTGACATACAGACAAATAACTTCAATGGACAGGTAATAAATCATACATGAGTGAGGAAGGGAGGGAAAAGGGAGAAAAAGAGTTCCTGGCACAGATTGAAGGGAGACAAGTGTAGAAGGAGACTAGTAAGATCTTAAATGATTGATGAGGGTGTCTGGACTTGAGAAATAATTTTTGAGATTGAAAGGACAACAGTGGCTACTTGATTAGACATGGAGAGTAAGAGAGGGAAAAGAATGAAGGATGAATTAGATTCCTGCATGAGCAACTGCATCCCCTCATTTACAACATATTGTAGGAAGGGTAGGAATAGGTTTGGAGTCAGATGAGTTCTGGATTTGTTACTTGGAGATTGAGTTGCTATGAGAATATACATGTGAGGATCTAGAACTTGGAGTTTGAAAAAAGGTTTGGCCAGGAGCTAAAAGATAAAGCTTTTAAATGCACATATATGGTAATTACAAGGGTGCCTGTGAATGAGATGGGAGCTGAGCAGGACCCTGTGGGACCTTTCCAAGGACAGACCCCCCCCCCATCCCCTCTTCTCGTTTATAGATGAACTTTAGCCTCCTAGGCCTTTCCCTAGTTCCAAAGAGCAAAGTTAATCAGAGAAGTGAGATAATACAGAAACAAAGGAAAACAGTCAAGCAAGACAAAATAACAATAGTTTAGCCATAAAACAAAATCAAGGACCTTTAGTTCCTCCTCAGGGGCTACAGAAAATATCCTGAACCATAGCCTTGAGTTGTTTTGCCGATACTAAAATCCCCATCAGGTGAAAGGAGTTAACTGCTGACCACCAACCAGCACATAGACCCCAGACCAGTTGGAACAAGAAGGTTGATATTGTTGATTCCTGAAATATCACCTAGTTACCCCGCCACCACCCAATCAGAAGAGTTGTATGTGAGCTGATTACACATCCTATGACTCTCTTCCTCACACTGTCTTTAAAAACCATTTCCTGAAAAGCCGTCAGGGATTTTGGTCATTTGAGCATGAGCTGCCTGTTCTCCTTGTTTAGCGCCATGTTGAGCACCTTGCAATAAAGCTGTACTTTTGATGAAAACTCGGCCTCTGTGCACTGGTGCCAAATAGAATCTCAGAGACAGAGTTTTGGGTGAGGTAGAAAAGAATAGCATTATTGCTTTGCCAGGCAAAGGGGGACACAGTGGGCTCGTGCCCTGAAAAACTGTGTGTCCCAACCTGGGAGGATTTGGTGAGGAGTTTTATAGCAGTGGCTCGAGGGCGGAGTTGCTGATAAGGATCATGGTGTCTGCAGGGCCTGCACTCCTTTAATCTGGCCTCAGTTGTTCTCCAGATGAGCTTCTCGAGGATATCAAACTGTGACCTTCTCTGGAATGAAGAATGCTAACATCTTCCATTTGTTGGGGGTTTTAGTTCTATAAAAGAGCTCAAAGATATTGTTGTGTGTATTCCCTTGAAGGGGAACCAGGATCCTGCCCCAAAGCTGCACTATTGTTTCTTGGCTTTCCTCCCTTGTCTCTGCATCTCTTCCCTTCCCTGATTAGCAACTGTTTGAAAGGCTTCTGTGCCCAGGAGTCCCACAGGGTCCTGCTTGGTTTTACTTTTCTTCACCACAACCTGGTGTCAGTAGATTGGCTTTGCTGCACATCAGGCAAGCAGACCCAAGTTCGGTTTGGTAACAAGATCACCCAGCAAGAGTGTTATGTACAACTAAAAACTGGACTAAAGATGAAATCTCACCAAACAGTGGAGGTGGAAGACTTGAAAGAAATACCTCCCTGGAGGAAAGAATTGCACATGGTAGGAAAAACAGAATAGAGTCTTGGAAACCACATTACCTTGTATTTACTTAAAATCACTTCAGGTAAGGAAGTGCTGATTCACAGCAAGATTTATTTCATTCTGTGGGAAATACAGTAGTTTAGATTTTAACTCCATATTCTTTCTTAAACTTTTTAGGCTTTGCTTATAGAACAGGATTTTCCCCACTAGATGGTGGTAGTGTTTCATGTTTCACAGAGTAGCCTGCTTTGCCGTTTTGTTCTCCATTGCCTTAGAAAAGAGAAGAAATATCTATTAAATACTTACTGAGTCAAGCACTCAGGTGTGTATCCTGTATATCTTATCTTCTGCAGTCCTTGCAATAACGTAAGTCAGATCACAGCATTCCTCTGTTCAAAATCCATCAAAGGATTCTGATCACTTTCAGAATAAATTCTGACAACTTAAAGAAAAATACACAATGAAAGAGCTGTGAATTTCAGTTTTATTCAGGATCTTAATGAGAACTAGAGCCTGGGAGACAACCATGCAACTCTGAAGAGGTAGGGGAAAAACCAGCTTATACACGATTTTTGGCTAGGAAATATGTTCAATCAACCATACATCTTGGTAAAAGATGACTGTTGATGACAAAGAATAGATATCTCAAGTTATTGATTTTACTGCTTTTCTGTGTATGGGAAGATGCAATAATCTAGCATCACTGAAATTCTTACTGAGATATGCATCTATCTAAGGGCCTGCTCATCCAAAGCATAGAATGCCTCATCTTGTTTTTCATCCTGAATTCCTTTCCGGGTGCACTGGCAGTGGTCAGTGGCAGTGGGTTATGACTTTACCCATATAGAGCTGGGTGGTGAGCAATGCTCTTTGTCTTATTGATCTTAATTTTTCTGTGTCCACAGCCTCAAAGTCCTTATCAAGGCCCATAAGACCTTATACAATCTTCATCCCCTCCCCACCCCCTCACCCAGGTTCCCCTGCTATTCCCTAAATTTACAAGAGGCACTGCTG